TTAAATGTGTAAAGCCGCCACCTGCAGAGCCAGCATCCCATATTGAGTGCTGGTTCAAGTCCTGGATGCTCCACTTCTGATTCAGCACTCTGCTATGGCCTGGGAAAGCTGGCCAAGTGCTTTGGCCCCTGCACCCACTTGGGAGTCCCAGAAGAAGCTCCTGGCTCCTGGCTTTGGATCTGCGCAGCTCCAGCCATTGCAGCCAACTGGAGAATGAACCAGAGGATAGAAGACCTCTCTCTCTCTGCCTCTCCTTCTCTCTCTGTGTAACTCTGAGTTTCAAATAAATAAATATTTTTTTAAAAAGATGGTGATAAAATCTAAATATAATACATATTTCTCTTCAGTAATGTTAAATGACAAAATTATATTTTAAAAGTGAATTGTAATTATGAAAATTTATGTTTAAACAAATAAGAATCCTATTAAGAAAGTACAAATGTTGATATAAATACAGTAAACTGACATTCTACTAGACATAGTATACACTTGCATTTACCATATTACTAAAGACATTTTACAACATAAAACCACAATATACTTAATATTTCATTTTACATCAATACATCATCAGGAGAAAAGTGGAAATGAGGTACTGGAACTCTGCAGAACCATGGGGCCTGGAAATTGACTTGGAAGTCACTGGTACACAGGAACAGCATAGGATTTTAAGGTTAAATCAAAAGGCTAAATTCAAAAGTGTTGGAAGAAATCTCAGTGCTGCATTTTATGGATACCAGTATCAGTAAGAATCATAAATAAAGCATTCTATACAGAACTCTATTAATTTGCTAAAATCTTTATAATGCAGGATGACAGATATAATCATAGCCTCTAAAATTCTACTAGGGAGCTATAAATTCAGAAGCTGATTACTGGCATTGAAAAAATGAAATTCTTCTCTAGACCTCAGTTCTGGAAAAAAAATCAAAAATCTGTATCATATACTTAACTTTGTACTGTTTTCTGGCTGAAGAGGGGCGACACTATTCTAGAGACAAAATTATGGAAATGGATAAGCAAACTTTTTTCTCAGATGTAGGTGACATTTTTCTATATAAACAGAATAGTTGAAGACTGAATATCTTTTAACCTCTAATGACAGAACTCACTCAAATACTTAGAAAACTTTTTAAAATAAGCTGTTTATATTTAAACTGGAAGCAAAACATTAAATTAAGAAGTACATTTGTGGAGGCCAACGTAGTGGCATGGCAGGTAAGGTCTCCGCCTGACACTAGCATTTCATGTGAGTGACAGTTCATGTCCTAGCTGCTCTGCTTCTGATCCGCTCCCAGCTGATGGCCTGGGAGAGTTATGGAGAATGGCCAAAAATGTCTGGGCTCCTGCCTGCCACATGGGAGATTTAAGAGGATGCTCCTGGCCCCGCCTTGGCCTTTGTGGCCATCAGGGGAGTGAGCAGCAGGTTGGGGGGAGCTCGTGCTTGAGTGCTCTCTCTTTCTCCCTCTCTTCCTCTTTCTTTGACTTTCAAATACAAATAAATAAATCTTAAAAAAAAAAAAAAAGAAAGAGGGACCTCTTTGGGAACGGAAGGCAAAAAAAAGTACATTTATGGGTTATGAAGTTCTTAAGACTTTTTCTCCAACAATGTAATTTAGAACATTTGATCAAACCAAAAAATTAATATTCATAATGTTTAACTAATAATTAACCTGGTAAAAACATCTTAAGCATTTATGCTCTTTTGAGAAAATGAAATTTTAAAAAACTATTTAAGGACTATTCAACACATCAGTGAGTCATTTTAGATTTTATAATTCAAGTATTTAAAACAAGAGCAATTAAAGATTTCTTAAAAGTTTTTAATCTTTTAGTTTCTTTGTTTAAAAACTTTTTCTAATAATCCTTCAGAATTTGTTCTCAATATGCCCAAAGTAAGCTGGCTTGCTGTTCTCACAGTCACAATAGGAAAAAAGTGCAAGTTGATATAAAGAAAGAAATGAATGGAGGAAACATAACAAAAAAAGACTTTGGTTTCAGTGACTTATGGAATGAACACATAAATTACAAAAAAGTACTAAATATAATAAACATAAAAACATCTGCTTATGTGTTTTTCAACTGAAATAAAATACCCAATACAGATTACATTTGCATAATGTCAAACTAACCATTGAATTCACTTAGCCAAGAAGACAGTTAACCAAGAAGGCAAGTCTGGTTATTTCTGCAACATGTATAAATTGACAATAGAAAAAAAGACCTTAAAAAGCCTATTCCATGTATTTTCTTTCATTACCAAAACCAGTACTACATTAAGGTAAGTATTAGAAAATTTCCTTTTCCTCTAAGCCAATACAATTGGGTTCCTACATAATGGTGGCAATTTTAAATTTCCATTTGACAGTTTTAATAAAATATATTGATGTGAACCAATAGCCAAATATCCCTGACCTCAGACATAAGAGGGTATTTCCAAAAGATTGTGGAAGATGGAATTAAAAGAAAGTTTAGAAGTCCAATGAGCTGTCCATTGTAAAGATAAAGTTTATACTAGGTGCAAAAAATTTTTAATATCCATGCACACAAGAAATCTTTAAAAAGTGCAAGGAAAATGGGTATGCATAATTTCAAAACTTTTGCATCAAAACAAATTTATTTTTAATTCCAATTTACATGAATTATCTGAAGTACCCTTGTAAAGTAACTTTCAGAATCAACTTTGTGCAAAATATGTAAATTACATTTGACAGAAATTTGAATATTTTTCACCTTATATAATGACAAGATCATTTTTAATGTCAAAAGTATTTTTCATTCAACACCGTACTTTAGGAATCCACAGTTAATGCCTTGCTATAAACTTCAGACAAAAACTTTGATATACATTGGAGAGTCTAAATTATTGGAATAGAGAGAGCTAAAGGCCATGCTTTATTTTTACTGGATGCCACATTCTGAAATCCACATTTGCCCTGCAATTGTCAGTCATTTCAATCCATCCAGTTTGTAAACAAAGATTATACACCAAGTTTGACAGGAGCATCTGATCAAATAAAATTTAAAATGATCATCATTAAACAGGAAGCAGTAAAAGGAAAAATGTCACCACACACCTCTCTTTTAAAAAGGCATCAACTTTCATAAAACATAAAGCCTTAAGTTTAAACCTCCAAATCAAGTTTTTACTGCTATTATTCAAAATAAAGCTGCTACCCTCCACACAGAACCAGGGCAACTTCAAGACAGCTTACAAGTTTTTATGTTATAAGGGGAAGCTATTGCTGTAAAGTCATTTTTCTAGTAATTCCAAGTAGCCCAAGAGGAAAATGCAAAGAGTCTATGCCATGTTACCTACTACCATTACTCTAAAATTGCTTTTCATGCAGAACTCTACGTGGTTGTGTTGCTTTTGGCCTGTTAAAGGCAAAGCAACATTATCTCTGGATTGCCAATAGTTTCTCCTTATTTGGCTAACATCGAGAGATCCCAATCAGACTACTATAAAACTTTAACATGCACAAAGAATCCATTTTGAGAAAAGTTTGGGACCAGCTTTCTTTTTTTTTCCCACCCCCAGAAGAATGACCAGAGCTTGGTAACAGGCTTTGAAAGGAGTGTCCCGTGTTTATTCTTCTCTTTCCAACCCCAGCGCACACCCCAGGACTTGGGACACTGCGGCAGCGCCTCCGAGGACCGGACTCACTGCGTTCCGGTCCGGAGGTGGGCAAGCCCTTTGGAACGCTCCCTCACCCTACACACTTCACCCCCTCTCTTCCAGCCGGTGCACATCGCTAATTACACCCCGGTTTCCCCTCCCCGGTGACCAAGAGTAATAAAGGAGAAAACAGGAAATCGTTCGCTCTGGGCACTCGGTTTAGGGCTCCTGATTACTGTTATTATCATCATCATTTGCAATCAAGTTCTAAAAAGTACAACAAATCCAACGTCCACCTATAAGCCAAAGACGTCCATCTGCCCAAGCGTCCCCAATACCCCTGAGAGCCGTTTCCTTCAGCATCCCCACCCCCTCTCCAACAGATCCCTGGCACCGGGGCCAGGGCACAACCTCACTGCACCCCTCCCTGTCTGGAACCCAAATACCAGACACACGTCCACAGATGACCCTAGGGCTACAAGACGCCCACAGCCCCTTCCCTCCGATACCCCGGAAATCATCCGGTTCCCAGCTACAACAGCAACTGGTCTGAAGGGGGCCTCAAGCCCGGGGCCCTCCCTCCACCAGTCGTCTCCCTCCGTCCCCGTCGGGAAGCCGCCCCCTCACCCCCGCGGCAGGGAGTCTCCCGCCGCCCCCGGCCTCCCGAGGACGAGGAGGGTGGGAAGGTCCCCGTGAGAGGCCGGCGAGGACCCTCAGGGTCAAGAGAGCCGGCGGCCGGGGACACAGACCTGGTGCAGGGCAGTGAGTCCGTCCACATTGGCGTAATTGATGTCGGCGCCGCGGTGCAGCAGCTTGAGGACCTCGTCCGTGTCGCCGCTGGAGCAAGCAGCCAGGAAGACGGCGCCATCGTCGAACTTCACCTTGGTCTTCTGGCGCTTCACCACGGGAGGCTCGAGGTCCGTCTCGGAGCCCATCCAGCGCTTCAGCTGCTCGTTCCGCTTCTGCTTCGCGTCCGCCATCTTCATCCCCTCTCCTGCCGCCGGGTCTTCTTATCGCGAGGGGGGGAAGGGGGAGGCGGAGAGGGAAGAGAGGGGAGGCAGGGGGTGTGTGACTGTTTCTGTGAGTGCGGGCCAGAGGAGGGCTGGGAACCGGGAGGAGACGCTCGAGACTTCCAGTATCCCACAGAGCACTGGGGCGGCGCGCCCGGCCGAGCGGACCTCCCTTCCTACCACAGAAGCCCTCCCGCCCCCGGCGCGGCCACCCGTCACCGGCGGCCAATCTAACGTAACTTCGCGAGATCCGGGCAGGGAGGCGCCCTTCGGCCAGTGCGCATGCGCTCTGGGACTGCGCCCGCCCCAGGAAGAGCGCGCCCGCCCCCAGGAAGAGCGCTCCCGCGAACTGTGGCGGGGGCGGCCCGGTCACCGGAGGGAAGCGGGTGTGGCCCGGGCCTCCTGGGCTGCGGGGGTTGGGGCCAACCTGGAAGCGAGGAGGCAGGGAGGGAAGGTTGTTGCGGGCAGCTGAGGGCTCCTGAGGTTCCGGAGGCCCACAGCCGGGCTGCAAAGCTTTTCAGGGCCGACCTGCCTTCCGGGCCGTCTCGGCCCGGCCGAGTCGTTTCCTCCGGGCGGAGGGTTTCCCCATTGGCTGCGTTATTTGAATGGAATGGAGGACAGGTCTCGAATTAGGCGCTTGTGGTTGCTCTCTGAGGCGCTCAGATGAACTTGAACGTATCAGTGTTGATAACGGCCTTTTTAAACGGGGTGTCTGTCGCCGAGGGCGTCGGTAGTGTTTGCCGAGGTGACCACCTATTGACGAGGGTAGACCTGCGGTAATTGCTGCGGCTTCCTGCCAGTCCCCGGTGTAGAAACGTCTTCCTTCTTACTCTTGCTTGGTACAGTTTGGTTTTCTCTCACGCTTATTTTGGAACCTCTTCCCCTTCCTTCAGTACTTTAAGCCCGTCTGGTACTACCCATGAGCTTAGCTCAGCCCCGCTACTGGTCCTGACCTTTTATGGGATTTCTGGTCCCAGCTCCAGCGCTTTCCAAAGGAGCAGTGCAAAGACCCAGGCGAGTCTAGAATCCAAAAGGAATGTTAAGGCAATTACTTCCACCGGTATTTATTGAATACCTACTGTGAGCCCGTGACATACTGGGTACTGAAGTGTACAGTTTTAAAGGTCCCATATTTATTTCAACCACCTCTTTAGGTTACATGGTCAAAACAGATTATAATTTCTTTTCATTAAAGAAAAGGCTTTGTAACTTTGCCTTGTCTGGCCACACACTTTGTAATGCAGATGTCTTTCGAATGTCTTGCGAATCATGTATGGGAGGTCTTCCAAAAGTTCATAGAAAATGTACATTATGAAAAAACGGTATAGATAAAGGTTTTTAGCACCAAAATTACCTATTCAGTTTTCTACAAACATTTTGAGGTACTCGTGTATCTACCTTCTTGCCAATTGATAGCCCTAAACACCCTATTGTAATCCCCTATTTTTAAACAATGCATTTATTTTTGTTTTATTTGGAAGGCAGAGAAACAGATCAAGAGACATGGGGAGATCTTCCATCCACTGCTTCACTCCCCAAATGCCCAAGACCCAAGTACTTGAGACTTCAGCTGCTTGCCCAGTGTGCATTTGCGGGAAGCTGGATCAGAAGCAGAGTAGCAGGGACTCCAACCAGGTACTCTGATGTAGGCACTGCTGTGCCAAATGCCTGCCCCCATTTGTTTTTGGAGCCAAAATAAAAGTCATGAAATCTTACCCCTGAATGGGAATTTAGTTACCATATTTAGACTGTGTGTCCAAAGAACTAGGTGATTTATCTAATTTTACCAGGATTAGGATTCACTCAGCAAATATTATGCACCTGTTCTGAGTCATACATTGGGGAAACAGCAGTGACCAATTAAGTTTTCAACATGATGCTTTTTTCCTGTAGAATACACTGCAGCTTATCATAATACGAAATAAAATCAGAGATTTTGAGTAAAATAAGATTAGAAAACCACCTCCATGTAAGACTGAATTTTCTGAACCGTCATTACTAGAATAATGATATTCATAGAACCCAGGTTAGGATAAAACTTCTAAAAATATTGTAGAACTACAAAATGAGTCTAATATGTTAAAATGCACTGTTGTATGTTCATAAAGTACACCAAAGATAACACCAGACCTTAGCATAATAATGGTGTTAGATACTGAAGAACTTTGTTGGTACCTAAATACAAAATCCCTATCCACAGAATGCAACTCTCAAAAGCACTTGAGAATTGTTTTGTCAGCTCCTGTGTCTACATAGAAAAGTAGACAACATATCCTTACTATTTTCCAGTAACATTATGGTCTATTTGATACTTCTTAAAAGTGCTCTTGAAATACAGATCAATATCTCAAGTTTTCATTTGGGCAAGAGAAGTTTGATGGAAAGCATGCTATTTCTGATACAAGTACTTATTTCAGGATGTAAAATTAGTAAGTAAAATAGACGATAGTTTGTTTATAAAACAGTTCAGTTCCAAGGACTACCATTTAAAATCAAGCAAAAACCCATCCACCTGAGCTGTTAATGTGTTCATATTTCATTGAGATTTGCTTCTACAGTTCTAATGGTCAGGAAGCACTACTAGTGTTGTTTAATTGGAAGTACTCTTCAATTGCCAACTGCTTTGTCTTTCTAGGAAGAATTTTTTTTTTCAATATTATTGCATTAATTATGATGACATACAGTTAATTTCAGAACAGGCAAAACTTTTTATTAAAACACACATGGCAATCACTTGATATTTTTCACTGAACAAACTCTTAAGATTTGTCTAAGCAGAAGAAGTTGAAGAAATGCAAACATTTTCATTTCCTAATATTCTATAGGTAAATTTCCTCTCCTTCAAGACATATTAGGCCTTAAAGATGGAAGTGCAAATGCAACTAAATTATTCATTTTACTATTTATTTTCTTTTGGAGGACTTTACTGTGTGTGTGAGGTTATCATGATAGGGTCTATACATACCTTTTTCAATGTTCACACTACAGATATACCTTACTAACCATGAATTTACTTGTAAATTAGGATAAATATAGAAAATTTTAATCAGAACATAAATTTATTTTAAATGCTTTCACATACCACTTAGATTTTCCTCCTGTGCATGCTCTCTCTCTGATGTAGTATCACCTGAGTCTACTGTAATAAGAGATTACATTTATAGTATTCACTGCAGTCATGTTATTATTAGCAAAACAGGAGCATGCAATAACATATGCAGAAAACTGTGTGTGTGTAGACATGTGTGAGTGCAGGACTTTAGCTTAGTATCAAGTTATACAGAATGGAGACTTACTACTATCAAGTGGAACTTAGGGGCCAACAGTTTGGCAAGGTAGTTAAGATGCCCACATCTGGGGCCTGTGTTGTGGTGCTGCAGGTTAAGTTGCTGCTTGCAGTGCCAGCACCCTGTATTGGAATATCAATTGGAATCCCAGCTGCTCTACTTCCAACCATGATAATGTGAATGGAAAAGCAGCAGAAAATTGCCCATGTCCTTGGCCCCCTGCTACCCACATGGGAGACCAGGCTTCAGGCTTTGGCCTGGCCTAGCCCTGGTTAAGAGCCATCTGGGGAGTGAACTAGCAAATGGAAGATCTCTTTGCCATTCCCTTTCTCTCTGTCACTCTGCATTTCAAATAAATAAATCTTAAAAAAAAAAAAAAAAAAAGTATGCCCTCCTGCCTTATCAGAATGCCTGGGTTTGAGTTCCACCTCTGCTCTGGATTCTAGCATTCCTGCTAATACATCCCCTAGGAGGCAGCAGGTAATTATTTACTTACTTGAGTCCCTGCCACCCACATGAGAGAACTGGATTGAGTTCCAAGCTCCCAAACCCTGGCTGGTACAGGCATTTGGGAAGTGAACCAGTGGATGGCAGAGTTCTTTCTCTCTGCCTTTCACATAAATAAGTATTTTTAAATAGAGTTTAGAATCTCTATGCAATACATGAACACAGGGAAAGTAAATTGTGTTTGGATTATAAATCAACTCAAACTAAAAACTTAAAATCTCAGAAGTTGTCTTTTCTTCAGTAAAAGATTATTTAATTACCATTTAATAAGAAACTTCTTTACATGTAAAAAGGGTTAGTCTTGGTTATAAAGAAAATACTTGAGAACCCTTGGGATCTAAGTTGTTTCTTTGCTTGTTTAATTTATAGGTCACTGCTTTGCCAGTCTTTGCTACAATGTAACATACTAAAATTTTCTATAAACTAACTTTCTGTTCAGTCTTTTACTCATTAACTTTTATTATTCAATCAGAACTATTTCATTACAAAAATGTATGTATGTAAGATATTGATAAATATGAGTATTTTCAGTCCTATATTTTCCTCATACCTAATTCAGACCTGAGATTCTCATTTACATTTATGTATTTGAGAATGGAATGGTCAACAAAACACTTTGGTCTTTCCTCCTGTACTCTGCACCTGGATTAAACTCTTCTATTGTATAATAATTTCTTTCCAATGTTTTATTTAAGAACCTGAAGAAAAGTTTATAGTTTGCTAGCATTGTAAAATGTGTAGTCCCACCCAAGAATTGACCCATACCAACACTGAATAACTCTCACTTGCATCAGACTCCATTTCTGGATCAATCCTGATTTCTGGACCATAGCTTCTAACCCTTTGCCTTGGCTCTGGTTACTCCCTGACCATAGGGTTTCTTCCACTACTCTGGTAGTTAGCTTGCTTGTAAATTCAGGATAAATTGTTTGCTACATCTGGCTTCATCTCAAGAAGCTAAGCCTAGCACAGTACAAATAGTATCTGATTTTCCCAAAAAGCATTTCTGGTGTCTCAAAGTGGGAATCAGATGAGTATCGGCCAACAATCCAAAGTACAGCACAGTGCTGAAGAGATGATAATGTGCCTCCTTTGCACTTGATTCCCCCCACCCACCATCATGTTCAGTGTCAGAATATCACATGGTCATTCATATGATCTACTTTAGTGTTTCCCAGATATTATCACTATATTTGTTACCAGATACATGACCACAAATGCCATTATTAATGTTTTACATAACCTTTTAAAAACATTGTAAATACATTTATTTTAAAGGAAATACATCCAATAAACACATAAAGAAGACTATGAAAACAATATTATTCTAGTTGCCTATCAAAGATCTAAGCCCAAAACCTGCTCTCAATTTATTAAAAAGGAAGATTGGCAAGAGTTGGACATACTATCATGAACCCAAGAGTTTTCTGTTTACTATAATCAGAAAGATTAAAGGATATTGAAAACAGAATAACTTTTTTTGCTAAGTGCTTCACTGTTATTGTTCTATCTGCCTAAAATTACCTCATTTCTGACTAGTATACATGTTTCCATACTTTGGGAAACCAGCTGATTTTAATTACCATGTATAATAAATTGTTATGATTTATTTAGTAAAAGTTACAGAAAGGCCTGAGTAGCACATCCATCTCAAGGTATCAAGGCAAGCCATTGGAAGGCCAATTTATATGATGGTGTCTATATATTCTGGGATAAAACCTAAAAGAAGCTTGGGAACTAAGAGTCATGCTTCTAAATCCCTCTATAGACCAGAGTGCAAACATGGGCAGAGTAAGATAATAATCAGAACAAAATGTGCAGTGATAACAGACATATCATCCCTATAATGGTACCGACTGTGCTCAGCTTTGGCTAGAGGGAATATCAGCTTTGGATGTTGTCTTAAGCATTAAATGATAATGCATGTGAGAAAATTTTTAGATTTTCTTTTTTATATTTGTATTTACCTCTTTGCTCTTTTAAGCTGATAGCAATTCTACTTCCTTGCCTTGGAGCATGTTTGTGGCAGAGAAGAAAGCAGAAGTTGCTTTCAAAATACTTTCCTTCCTAGCTTGAAATGCCCCAAATTTCTATTTAATAAGAGTTAGGGCTAGTAATCTGGTTATAACTAGTGTATGAGGTGGCTGGGAACATAACAAAGATATATTTGCATAGTATTCTTGATCAATAAATATAACTCTTTTAAAAATTGGTTTTATTGTCACTTTTTTAAAAGATTTATTTATTTATTTAAAAGAGTTACACAAATAGAGAAGGAAAGACAGAAAGAGAGGTCTTCCATCCACAGGTTCACTCACCAATTGGTTCCAGTAGTCGGAGCTGCGCCAATCCAAAACCAGGAGCCAGGAGCTTCTTCCGGGTCTCCCATGCAGGTGCAGGGGCCCAGGGACTTGGACCATCATCTATTGCTTTCTCAGGCCACAGCAAAGAGCTGGATCAGAAGTGGAGTAGCCAGGACTTGATCTGGCGCCCATATCAGGTGCCGGCACTGCAGGCGGCAGCTTTACCGGCTACACAGTGCCGGCAATTGTCACTTTTTTATAATATCGTAGAGTGGAGAAGGGGAATATAACTGAGTGGTTCAACCTTGGGTGCTGCTGTGTAAAGAAGGATTTCATGGAGCATAAAATGGGATGCTTAGGCTTTACTGGATAACAGAGAAGTTTCTAGGTCTCTTGAACCATGAGTTCTTAGCTCAGGATCTCACAAGGCCAAATGCAAGGTGTCAGGTTGGCTGGGCTCTTATCTGGAGGATCTGAAGAAGAATGTACTTCTGGTCCCATTCTGGTTATTGACAAAATTCAGTTCCTTGTCCTGGCAAGGTTCAAGTCTTTGTTTTCTTGCTGGTTGTCAGCTGATCATCACTCTCAAACTAAAAGCATCTGGCTGTTTCTTACATAGCTCTCTCCATCCTTAAAGTCAGATACGTTAAATCTTTCTCCTGCTTTGTTTCCAGTCTGTCTTACTTTCTCTCTTTCACCAATTTGAGAAAGGTGTTTGCTTTTAAAAGATAAAGAATGTTGGGGCCAGTGCCGTGGTGCAGTGGCACAATAGGTTAATCCTCCGCCTGCTGCGCCAGCATTCCATATGAGCACTGGTTCTAAACCTGGCTGTTCCTCTTCCAATCCAGCTCTCTGCTGTGGCCTGGGACATAGTAGAGGATGGCTCAAGTGCTTGGGTCCCTGTACCCGCATGGGAGACCGGGAAGAAGCACCTGGCTCCTGGCTTCAGATCGGCACAGCTCCAGCTGTTGCGACCATTTGAGGAGTGAACCAACAGAAGGAAGACCTCTCTGTCTCTCCCTCTCACTGTCTGTAATTCTATCTCTCAAATAAATAAATAAACTCTGAAAGAAAAAAAAGAAAAAGAGGCAGCAACACTTCCTAAATTACTTTAAAAGATCAAAACTGTCCTAAATTCAACACTACAACAACAACAACAACAACAAAAAGCTAAAGAATGTTGATCATCTTCCTATCTAAAATTCAACTGGATGTATAACAGAAGATCACAGGAAGGATATTTCATCATATTTATAGGTTTAGGGATTAAATCAGGTCATCTTTGAAGGACTGTTTTAGAAATCTTGCATGACATTGGACTCCATAAGTAATTTTTCAGTAACTAATGGTTTCTATTTTAATTTCATCATTCTTTAATCACCTATATAATACAAGAATGGATTTTTAACAACAAATAAGAGATTGTCCTTTAGGTTTAAAATTTACAAAGCAGCTCTAAGTTTTTTATAGTTAAAGAACTGACGTCCGATTTTCTGACTGGAGGTAGCCAGTAATTGCTCTTGGCTCCTAGAAGCTGCTGTCAGATCCTTGTCATTTGGTCCCTTATGGGGAGTTCACAATATGGTGTGTGTTCTTTTTAAAGTCTGTTTATTTTCTTTGAAAAAGATATCTTTCATCCACTGGTTCACTCTCCCAAATGCTGGCAAAAGCCAAGGCCGGGTCAGGTCAAAGCAGGGAGCTCAGCCTGGATCTCCTTCATGGGTGGCACAGACCCAAGTAACTGGGCCATGGTTTGCCATCTCCTAGAATGTGCATTAGCTGGAGGCTAGATTGGAAGGGGAGGTGGTACTTGAACCCAGAGATTCTGCACCAAATGCCTGCTCCATGGTGCTCATTTTTCTAGGCCATCAGGAGTCTCTGCCTTTAGGAAGAGGCTGGTCCTTTTTATAGGAGCTGTACCTAACTGAAGTCTACCAAGGATAATCTGCTTTCTTTCTTTAAATCATTTGTTTTTAAAATCATGGTAAGATATACATGGAATAAGATTTATCATTCTAACTATTTGTAACTGTATAGTTCAGTGGCATTAGGTACATTCATTTTTTCCACTACCGTTGCTAATATCCATCCACAGAGTTTTTTCATCTTCTGAAACTGTAACCACTTAGATAGTCACTCTCTATTTCGGTCCACTCTAGTTAGACAACCACCATTATATTTTCTTTTCTTTCTTTTTTTTTTTTTTTTTTTTTTTTTTTACAGAGTTAGACAGTGAGAGAGAGAGAGAGAGAGAAAGGTCTTCCTTCCATTAGTTCACCCCCCAAATGGCTGCTACAGTTGGTGCGCTGCGGCCGTTGCGCTGCACCGATCTGAAGCCAGGAGCCAAGTGCTTCCTCCTGGTCTCTCATGCGGGTGCAGGGCCCAAGCACTTGGGCCATCCTCCACTGCCTTCCCGGGCCATAGTAGAGAGCTGGACTGGAAGAGGAACAACTGGGACTAGTACCTGGCGCTCCAACCAGGACTAGAACCTGGGGTGCCGGCACCACAGGCGGAGGATAAGCCAAGTGAGCCATGGCACCGGCCTCAAATGACATCTTAGCCACTAGGCCAAATATTTGCTTATACTTTATCTTTTAATTTCACATTCTCATAAATGTTTTGAAGAACTTTATATGTGGGTATGCACCATATTTTGTTTATCCTTTTCATCCGTAAGTGGAGAATTTCTTCCACCTTTAAGCCATTGCAAATAGTGTTGCTATAAATATGTGTATACAAATACACATATCTATTTGAATCCCTGCTTTTACCTCTTTTGGTTACATACCCAAGAGTGGGATTTCCAGATCATATGTAAATTCTTCATGTTTTAATTTCTTAGGGAACCACTATGCCATTTTCTACAGAATCAGTGTTATTTGACAGTCTCACCATCAGAAAAAAAAAATCTGCTTTTGATTAACTCAAGCCAACTGGTTTGGGACATTAATTATATCTGCAAAATTCCTTCATCTTTGGCATGTAATATAATCATGGAGGTGAAATTTATCATATTCAGAATTGTTCCAACACTGAGAAGGAGAGGATTGGCAAGTATATTCTGTGTACTGCAGGGACAACAATCTTGGGGGCCAGCTTAGTGTTGCACATACCACACTTTCATAAACAGAAAAGACATTTATTGAAAATGATGACATTGCTTTCAGAATCAGTGAGAAGGCTGAAGAATGACCCTTAACAATGAGCAGGGCAAAAATGGAAGGTATGATAGCTAGCCTCCAAGAGGGCCTCCAGTGATCCCAACCTCCTGATATTCACAGCTTTGTGTATTGTTATTATTTTGCTCTGTGGACCACAAGTAAGCACAAGTAATAATCTGTCACTCTCAAGATTAGGGAATAAAAGACACTGTGGCTTTTGTCGCTCCCCCTCTTCGTGGAGGAACGACACAGGACCCTGCGCTGTTCTTTCGTCTGCTCGGCCCTTCCCGGGTTTGCTGCTGGTTCTTCCCGGGTTGGCTGCGGTCCCTTCCACCTCCGTGGAAGGGCGGTTCCCCCTGGCCACTTTTCCCCACTTCCGCGGGGGAGCAGCACACCGCCGGCCGGCTCTCTCGGGGGCTGCACAGGTGTTCCTTCAGATAGATGTTCCCCTTAGATGTTCCTGGTGCATATTGTCTCTCTCCTCCTTTATAGTCCTCTTCCACCAATCCCAACTCTGCTACCCACAAGCTGAGTACGCTGCTCTCCTCCAATCAGGAGCAGGTCCTACAGTTTATTGGTTGAACTGGAGGCAGCTGTGTAGAAGCTGCTTCTCCCTTCTCAGCGCCATATTGTGGGAGAGCAGATGCATAGAATAAGTCTTAATTCCAGTAACAGTCTAATCTGAGTTGCTCCCCACAGCTTTAAGGTTGGTTGCTGTATCACTCTCTTGAATCACTTGCCCTGAGGAATCAAACAGCCAAGCCTGAAGACACTTAGGCAACTTTATGGAGAGGCCCATCCCAAGAGTAACTGAAGCCTCCAGCGAAGTGAGTGACCTTCTTGGAAGCAGATCCTCCAACTCCAATCAAGCCTTCAGATAAATGACCACAGATCTGGCTGGTAGTAGCTGAGAATGTTTATTTTTTTTTATATCGCTAATGATTTTTTAGAAAAACAAAGATGACTATGAAACAGAGGCCAGATATGGCATGCAGTATCTAAACTATTTACTAATTTACAGATGAAGTTTGCTGACCTTTCCACTGCTACTACGGAGAACAGTCATGAACTTTTCCCACAGCTTTTCAACATTTTCTCCAATTCAAAGTCCTTGGTGTAAATGCACAGTTGATCAAGACTAGGTGTACATCCTGTTGAAGGATTATGAAAGGCAGCATGGTGTTTCCTCCCACCAGGACTGAAAAATGAGAATTTTCTCCAAAATAGAGTGTTCAGATGCCAGTAACAAAATCTGACATAACTCTGTTGAAACCAATCAAATTAGTTCTTAGTATTAACAGACAAAGTCAATTTGTCCAGATAATAGTGTTCTACAGAGACTGTTTAGTATTCTAGTCATCATCTACTTTGGTTCCTGTGCTGCTTGATTTCTCCCTTTTCTTTCAGTTTTGAGAGCAGCCCCATATTCTTTCAACACATTCAATTGTGCTTAAAGTCAGTTAGTTTCTATGCTGGTAACAAAGAAGTTTTCCCTGGCAACAATGTTATTGCTGTTTTGCAGAGATCATCAGAAAGGATGTCAAGCTTGATAATAACATTTTATTTCTAAAACTATCTTGGAACAATTTGGGGAGGGTAGCAGGAATGCTAAATAAGTTGCAATGCACCGGAATGATAAAACAAAAATGAAATGTCCTTCTCAAAATTGCTCTACTGTTGAGAAATACTGAAAATAAAATGACAAATAGCTCATACCAAAAATTGATCTTGATGCCACACTTAATTCTAATGTCTGCTCTTCAGTCCACAAAATAATATTGATAGATTACTATATATTCATATTTCCCATTTTCTAGTTATTCCTGAATCTAATAATTTTTCTCCACAGCCATCATTTCCTAGAAACTGGTATCATCAAGATGGGCACTCATATTTTTGTCAAATTGAAACTATTTGTATCATATTAAATATGTCCTCCTTTTTGAAAATACTTATTTAAAAGGCAGAGTAACACATATGGGGGGGGGGATGGTAGTGAGAGAGAGAGAAAGAGAGAGATCTTTTATCCATTGGTTCATTCCCCAAATGGCTGCAACAGCAGGGTCTGGGCTAGGCTAGGCTGAAGCCAGGAGTCAGAAACTCCATCCTGATCTTTCATATGAGTGGCAGAGACTCAAATACTTGGGCCATAACCTGTTTCCTAGGCACATTAGCAGGGAACTGTATCAAAAGCAGAGTAGCTGGGACTCAAAAGCTTTCTGATCTAGGATGTAGGCTTAACTCATTATTCCACAAGGCCCAAACTATGAACTCCTTGTTTTTCCTTATAAATCTCTAATTACTTTTCAAAACTCTTTTATAGCTGCCCGTCCCCTTTGTCTGCCTTCATCTTATTTCACAGGATTCTTTTTTGCTCATTTTTTTCACTCTCTCTACCTAGTTTTTCTCAGACCCTCACCTCAAAGCTAAGTATTTCATTTAAACTTCAGACTCATTTATACACTATTCAAGCCTAATACACATGAAATGGAACTTGATATCTTCCCACATATACTTGCTTCTTCTGTAGTCTTCATTTTGGCCAGTGACCTTGATGTACTTAATACTTTGGGAATCTATTGAAGAGAAACTTATTCCAGGTGGCAGGGGAAAGGAAGAGCAAAGAAAGCAATGCCTTCCTGGAGGAGGTGACACTTAACCTAGATAAGTTAGCTAGGAGGAATTGGGTGAGATGTTTGAGAGTGATGCAGTGTGAATTAGGGAGGACATAATGCAGAGAAACAGAGGTTGGAAAACCAAAGCCCAAAGGCAAACAAAAACCATGCTACTAAAAGCAAAACTAATTCAGATTCAAAGCATACATGGGTTTTTGGCAGAAGGAACTGGCAAAATATATAGTTGGAAAGGTAGGCAGGAAATATGTCATGAAGAACCTTTTATACCATGCTAAGAAGTTTGGATCTTATCCTATCAGGTCAGAGTTTACAGACTGATTGCCCACAGGCAACAGAAGTGGTTTGTTTGGCTCATGTGGGCTTTAAAAATCTGTCAAATATGTTGTCAAAATTTCAAAATTTCATATCAAAATCTGAATTTCCAGCATCTTCTGAAGAATTGTCAGTTCTGGTCACATTTTTCCACATTGAACAGGCTGTCTCGTCACCTCTCTGTAATAGTTATCCATCTGATCTGCTTTATTCAACTGTGACTGATGTGAACTACCCACCCATTGTGAGCTTTGGGAAATTGCTGCTTCCACTTCAGATGACAGCGAGTCATTGAAGAACTGTTAACAGGGGAATATTATTGTCAGATATTTGGATTTTGGAAGAAAAATAGAGGTATAGGGCAAAGGGTACCAAAAAGAATGAACTGAAAAATCTGGGGCAATAGTGTTTAGGGAAGAGAGAACAAACATATCTTATTAATCCATACACCATTTACCCTCTTAAACCACCAGATAGAGCAGAGGAGGCAAGCCAGTGACAGTAGAGAAATAACAATTGAAGATTGATATACAGCATGACTGTTAAAGAGAGCAGGCCAGAAATCAAGAAAGCTTAAGACTGAGTGTATGTAGGGTGTAAATGTGGTATATCCAGGTATAAATCTAGTGGATGACAGGGTCTAATTTTGTTGAAACCCTCATTTACCACATTGCCTATTAAAAATAAGTTTGCATTAATTGAGCAGTTTGCTTTTCATGGTGATCAGTTCAAATGGATATACTTTCACATATCCATAATAACTATAAATCAGTGAATTATATATCATTCATGAGTTAAGCTCTAGGAAAGAATTAAAGAGAAAGGAAGTTTTACAATGAACTTGATGATCACTAGGAACTATTAAAAATTCTTGAAAAATGACCCATACTCCCTAATTGGTTTCTTGCTTATTGGTTTTGTAGGAATGCTGGGCTAAGTCAAGATTATGGAGAGCTACACTCAGAGTAGGCATAATTCATAAAATTTGTCTAAGTTGGCTTATCTCGATAAATACATGATAGGGTTTCTTATCCTGAACACATTATTTCTCAAACTGTATTAGCTTTCTATTTTTTTAAGCCTCCCTAATATCTAGTTTGCTTTCTCCACTCTCAATTTATTTTAAATTATTTCAAATAATATAACAAAGTATAATGAAGAGTTAAATGAACACACATAAATAATTTTTAACATTTTTGCATACACACTTCATATGTAAACATATATACACATAGATACCATTTTTGAAAGCATAGGTGGTAATGGTAATATCACAAAACATGAAATTAATAACAAAAACCAAGTGAGGACAGAAGGGTATTTTTTAACATAAGGAGTCTAATTCATTAAAGACACATTTATATATATCTGTATACCAAATAATGTGGAACCCACACATTTTATACTATACATATAATATTGACTTTGACATATCAGAGAAAATAGGAAATTTATCTTTTTTGTGTCTACTTACTTCACTTAACATAATGATGTCCAGTTCCATCAATTTCATTACACATATAAGGATTACATATTTTTATAACTGAATGATGTTGTCACATCATGTTCTTTATCCATTCATCCATTGATGGATATATAGGTTGATTCTGTGTCTTTAATAGTGTGAATTGGGTTTGGTGATCAGTAGATGACTTAATGTTTTCTTCTTTTGCTTATTGAAAATTGCATACTTCTAGTTTCCCAAATTATGTAACTTTTACTTAAGTCACCAATATTGTTACATCCATTGTATATATCTTTATCTCTCTGACTCATAATCCCTCTCACTTCTGATATATGTACACACACAGAATATATATATTTATTTGTCTTCTATATGTATACTGTATGTAACTTCTTTGATTTTTTCTTTCTTTGATTTTTCATTACTTCCAGACTCATTCTTTCCAATTTTATTTTTACTTATACTCATTATTAAAAATAAAATTTTATAACTATGATCTTTTTTCTACCCATTAAGTAGATCCTGGAGTAATAAGGATAAAGAAGCCTGTATATGCTTCATTTACATTTATGTTGGCAAAAGAAGATATGAAAGACTCATTGAAAAAGATGAGGTTTATATTTTCCATATACACAGAGATATGTAAGACAAAAGTAAACTGAAATTATGACTAGATTGATTTCTTTTAAGTTACATCCAAGGCATCAGCACTGTGGCATAACAGGTAAACAACAGCATCCACATGGGTGTTGGTTCGAGTCCCAGCTTCTCCACTTCTAATCCAGCTCCTTGCTAATGTGCCTGAGAAACAGTGGAAGATGACCCAAGTCCTTGGGCCCGTGCACCCACATGGGAGGACTGTAAAAAGCTCCTGGCTCCTGGCTTTGGATCAACCCAGCTCTGGCCATTGCAGCCATCTGGGGAGTGAATCAGTAGATAAAGATCTCTTTGTCTCTCCATCTCTCTCTCCCTGCCTCTCTCTCTCTCTCTGCCTTTCAAATAAATAAATACATCTTTTAAAAACATTACATCCAAATAAACACCAAGATATTTCAATCTGGAAAAGTAACAAAGGCAAGATCATTTTTTTCCTCATCCCCTTTCCACCTAAAACACTGCCATGTTCTAATCTCTTAGGAGTGCAAAATGTTGATAAGACATCAATTAATTCAGATAATGAAATGAAAGCTGTAGCATTGTTTTTTGTACTTTTATAGCCATTGTTGTATTTTTATTTGGCATTTCCTCTGCTTTGCCTTATCTCAAATTTATATCACAGTTCTACCCTGTCTGTGGAGACACCTACATAGCAAGGAATTGTTTCATGTGAGAGGCCATCCTGCTAGGGGATTCTCCAGCCAAAGTGAAACCTTCATATGACTTTGTTTTGCATATAATTTCATGAGAGCCAGAATCATCTAGCTATTCCTAAATATTTGACCCAAAGACATAGGTGAGATAACTCATTATTATTGTTTCAAGTTAAATTTTGGGAGGTTAATTTATTATGTAACAACAGAGAATGAATGTACTAATGTCCTATTGTTCTGATCTAGATTCAAACTTGACATTGTATACCAGACTTCATTTTTGTATAATACCATCTACAGAAAGTTTAAACTTAATGATGTAAATGAATAAAGTCTGATTTCTAGTATAAAGAAGAGGTCAATAATTGATGGGTAGGAAAAATTTTTACAAATAGAAGTGTATTTATTTGCAAGGAACAAAAAGCTAATCAAAGCAACTGTAAAAACATGATATATTGAAAAGATAAAGTCTCATACAAATTATATTCAAGCGGAATAGCTGGGTTCTTGGTAATTAAAATGTAAAATGGTGTCTACCTGCCTCTTTCTTTTCTCTATTACCTTCTCTCACCAAGCTTTTTGTTTTATTTTTAAAAATACTTATTTATTTGCAAGGCAGAGTTACACATAGAGAGAGGACAAGATGAGAGATGAGAGAGAGAGAGAGAGAGAGAGAGAGAAACATCTTCCATCTACTGGTTCTTTCCCATATAGTCTCAACAGCCACGTAGCCAGGTCTTGGTCAGGCTAAAGATGGAAGCCAGAAACTCCAACCTGGTCTCCCAAATGGTTGACAGGGCTTGGACCATCTTCCACTGCTCTACCAGGCACTTTAGCAGGATACACTTCTCTTCCTCTATCTCCTTTTTGCTATATCTTTCTGTCTCTCTTGTTCTCTCCATATCTCCCCTTACCCACTTTAATTTTTGCCCACTCCTCTCTCCATCACTCTTTCCCTTGATCCCTCCCTCCCCTTCTACATTTATTTATGCTTCTTCTCTTGTGTCCCTCATCCCCTCATCTCTCCTTCCCGCACTTTTGCCTTTCCCTCTTTCCCTTTATCTCTCCCTGTTTCTCTTTCCTTTTTCTATTTCTCCAACATTTATTGTCACTTATTATTTCTGTTTTCTTTACCTTCTTTCTTAAAGGCTGTCTGCTCCTCTCCCTACTTTCATTCTTGGTTTGGTATTAGCTCTGGCGTACTTCTAAGTGACCTCACAGTTTCAGAATTACTATTTTTGATTATAATAGAGATTGCAAAATTGGCTATCTGTAGCTGAATTTTACTTACAAATGTGTGGTTTTTTTGGACCCAATCTCTTCTCTGAACTTTAATTGTTAGTCATAAATTTGAAACATATACAAGGGACTGGTGTTGTGGTGTAGCATGTAAAACTACTGCTTGTGACACCAGCATCCCTAGCGGATGATGGTTTATGTCCCAGCTGCTCCATTTCCAATCTAGCTCCCTACTAATGGCCTAAAAAAAGCAATGAAGAATAGCCCAAGGGTTTGGGCCCTTGCAACCCACTTGGGGAGACCCAGATGAAGCTACTGGCTTCTGGCTTTGGCTTGCCCAGCCCTGGCCATTGCAGGTATCTAAGGAGTGAACCAACAATGGAAGATTTCTCTCTCTCTCTCTTTCTGTGTCTCTGTAACTTTTTCAAAGTAAATAAATAAATCTTTAAAAAACACCATAAATGAGCATAGATTGGCTCAAGTAAAATATTCTTTTACTCTTTGGTAATTTGGAATGTATCTTTGTATATAATAGATTAGTCTCATAGTGGATATTCACTGTTAATTTATTAACAAAATATAAAGTATTACATACTTATCAAAACAGTACAGTAGTTTTTTAAGTATTTTGGTGAAATCTATAAAAAACAAATACTTGAAATATCAGCTCTGGACATTCAAAAAATTTGGATATGAGGAATATCACATTTCAGATGATTTTTATAAAATGTTAATTATATCAAATAAGGTAGAAATCTTAGCTTTTTTCATTATTTTAGAAGACAATTTTGTAAATATGAAATTTTTTAGCTTTTGGTATAATAGAGTACAGTAGATCTTATGACTCTCATGACCTTAAAATTATTTTTAAATTGTACAAAAATCATTTAAGATCTGCATCAACATCATCCTATGCACAAGCATGAAGCTGGTTTAATAAGTAGCTAAAAGATAGGCTTCCTTCTGTCCCTGTACATAAAGTTAGCACATTTTTACATTCCTTACTAGTTAAAAGTAAAAATAGATAACGTGAGTGTGTTTTCATTCTCCAGTTAAACTTAAGATCATTTAAAGCAGATCAACTTCTGCTCTCCTACTTAAGTATTGTGAAACATTGTATTCCTCACGCATGCTTGAAAAATGCTTGTGACTTAACTAACTGACTGATTCTGTGATATGCTACTGGGACACTATCAAACACAGCAGATTATTTTCAAGTATGCCATGTATAAGTCCAGTGCAATCATTTCTTAGAGAAGGGACTATCAATTAAGATACCCCCAAATGCCTGCCATAGGCACCTTTAAAATTTTTTTGCTTTCTGGTTATAAAGCTAGTTTACTATAATTGCAAGGTTTTCTTGAAATAATAAAAACAGAAAGAAAACTAGCATTGCCCAGAGATTTGCTACCACTCTGTACACTATATATATATATATATATATATATTTGAAGATTTTATTTATTTATTTGAGAGGTAGAGTTACAGACAGAAAGAGAAAGAGACAGAGAGAAAGGTCTTCCATCTGCTGGTTCACTCCCTAGATGGCTGGAATGGCCAGAGCTAGGCAGATCCAATGACAGGAGCCAGGAGCCAGGAGCTTCCTCTGGCTCTCCCACATGGATGCAGGAGCCCAAACACTTGGGCCATCTTCCACTGCTTCCCTAGGACATTAGAAGAGAGCTGGTTTGGAAGAGGAGCAGCCAAGACATGAAATGGCGCCCATATGGGATGCCCGCATCACAGGCAGAGGCTTAGCCTACCACACCACAGCTCTGTCCCTGTTATTTTTATTTCTTTCATATTTACTGAAATATAATTGACAACTAAAAATTGTATATAGGAGCAAACATTTGGCCTAGGAGTTAAGGCACTACTTGGGATACCTGTATCTCATATCGCGTACCTGAATTCAAATTCTGGCTCTACTCCAATTCCAGCTTCCTGATATTCTTCACCCCTGGAGGCAGCAAGTGATGATCCAACTAGTTGGGACCTTGTCATCCATGTGTCAGGCCTGGATTGAGTTCCTGGCTTCTGGCTTTGGTCTGGCCCATCACTAACTGTTTTGGGCATTTGGGAAATCTCTGTGTCTCAAATAAATAAATAAATTTAAAATTAATTATATTTAAGGTGTACAACTTGTTTTGATACATGAGTGTACTTCAGGAAACTTGTAAAAATGCACATTATATAAAAACTGCATGATTTTCAATTTTTTTTACATCAAAGAAAACATATTTAAATTTCATTTTGTGTAAACATTTTAAGAGATACGTTTGATGAAATCAAATTAGTTTAACATATCCATCACTTCACATAGCTATCATTTGTCTTCTTTTTGTGGTGTGAACACTAACCTCTTAGTAAATTTCAAGAACACAGTGCAATCCATAAACTGTACTTTGGAAATTTATATTTACTAAAAAAAAAAAAAAGAAAGAAAGAAAAGTGATCATAAAATAAAAAATCATAAAAAAAGAACACAGTGCAGTATCACCAGCTGTAGTCATCATGCAACACATTAGATCTCCAGAAACTACTCATCTCACATAACTGAAGCTTTAATCCTTTTGCCCAACCCTCCCTTCTCCCATAATGGCCCACCCAAAACACCATTCTATTCTGTGCTTCTATAAGTTCGACTATTTTAGATTAAACATAAGTGATATCATGCAGTATTTTTCCTTCTGTGTTAGCTTATTTCACTTTTTTTTTTTTTTTTTTTTTGACTGGCAGAGTGGACAGTGAGAGAGAGAGACAGAGAGAAAGGTCTTCCTTCCGTTGGTTCAACCTGCAACGCACTGTGCTGATCCGAAGCCAGGAGCCAAGTCTGGCTCCTGGTCTCCCATGCGGGTGCAGGGCCCAAGGAATTGGGCCATCCTCCACTGCAATCCCAGACCACAGCAGAGAGCTGGACTGGAAGAGGAGCAACCAGGACAGAATCCGGTGCCCCGACTGGCACTAGAACCCGGGGTGCTGGCGCCGCAGGCAGAGGATTAGCCTATTGAGCTGTGGCACCAGCCAGCTTATTTCACTTAACACACTTATTCCAACTTCCGTGTCAGGATTTTGTTCTTTTTAAAGCTGACTAATATTCCATTCTATATACATTACTTTTTCTTTTCTTTTCTTTTCTTTTTTTTAAAGATTTGTTTGTTCATTTGAAAGGCAGAGTTACAGAGAGGCAGATGCAGAGGCAGAGAAAGAGAAGTCTTCCTCCTGCTGGTTTACTCCCCAAATGGCCAGAAGGGCTGGAGGTGTGACGATCCAAAGCCTGGAGCCAGGAGCTTCTTCTGGGTCTCCCACATGGGCGCAGGGGCCCAAGCACTTGGGCCATCTTCTACTGCTTTCTCAGGCCTTAGCAGAGAGCTGGAACAGAAGTGAAGCACCTGGAACTCAAACTGGTGCCCATATGGGATGCTGGCACTTCAGGTGGCAGCTTTACCCACTATGCCTTTGCTGGCCCCTGCAGTTATCTCTTGAGATAATGATTTCATTTACTTTGTATATATTCTCAGAAGTGGGATTTTTAGGTAAATGGTAGTTCCATTTTTAATTTTTGGGGGAAACTTCATGCTATTTTTCATAATGGTTGTACCAATTTATCTTCCCACCAATAATGTACAAGGGTTCTTTATTTCTCCCTATCCTTGCCAACATATTATCTTTTGTCTTTCTGATACTAGTCATCCTCATGGTACCTCACTGTGGTTTTGATTTCCATTTCTTTGATAAGTAGTGATGCTGAGCACCCTTCCCTATATCTGTTGGCCATTGGTATGTCCTCTTTTGAGGAATGTCTGTCTGAATACTTACTCCTTGTTTTAATGGGGTAATTTTTTTTCTGTTGAGTTATTTGAGTTTCTTATATATTTTGGATAGTATATATTTTAGGTATTAATTCCTTATCACATATTTGCTTTGAAGATATTTTATTATTTTTGTTGCCATTATAAAGATATTATTTTCTTAATTTACTTTTCGATAGTTAATTATTTTGTATAGAAATGCCACTGATTTTTGCATTTTAATTGTATATCCTGTGACTTCATTGTAGTTGTTTACTCTAAAATATTTTCAAGTCTTTAGGATTTTCTGTTTATGTAATCATATCACATGCAAACAGAAATAATTTTTATTCTTCCTTTCTGATTTGAGTGCCTTTTATTTGTCTTTCCTAATTGCTCTGTCTGGGACTTCTATTTTTTTTTTTTCGACGGGCAGAGTGGACAGTGAGAGAGAGAGACAGAGAGAAAGGTCTTCCTTTGCCGTTGGTTCACCCTCCAATGGCCGCCACGGCCGGGGCACCGCGCTGATCCGATGGCAGGAGCCAGGTACTTCTCCTGGTCTCCCATGGGGTGCAGGGCCCAAGGACTTGGGCCATCCTCCACTGCACTCCCTAGCCACAGCAGACCTGGAAGAGGGGCAACCGGGACAGAATCCGGCGCCCCGACCGGGACTAGAACCCGGTGTGCCGGCACCGCAAGGTGGAGGATTAGCCTAGTGAGCCACGGCGCCGGCCTCTGGGACTTCTATTATGTTGAATGGAAATGGTGAGAGTGGGCATACTAACCTTGGATCTTAGAGGGAAAGTTTTCAGTTTTCCTTATTCATTATGGTATTACCTCTGAAGTTTTCATATACAATCATTTTTATGTAGAGGTAAATTCGATCTATCCCAAAATTTTAAAAAGTTTTTAAAGAGAGAGAGAGAGTGAGCAAGTGCACACTTTCATTTGCTGGGTTGCTCAATAAATGGCTGCTATAGCCGCAATTGGGTTCATGTGCTGAAGTCAGAAACCTGAAAATCCACAATGCCAACTCCCTTCTTTACCTATTTTATTTAGAGATTTTATCATAAATCTGTGTTGAACTTTGTCAAAAGCTTTTTCTGCATCTGTTGAGATGATAATATTTTTTATCCTTCATTCTGTTAATGTGGTGATTCACATTGGTTATCTTCCATGTGTTAAACCATCCTTGCATCAAAGGATAAATTCTTCTTTATCATGAATTAAATTATAATCCATTTAATAGCTCTTCAGTTGAGTCTGGTAATATTTTGTTGAGAATTTTTTAATCTGTGTTCATCAGGGACATCAGCCTGTAATTTTCCTGTGGAGCTTTTGGTTTTAATATAAAGATGAAGCTGGCCTCATAGATTGTATGCTTCTAGGAATTTATTAATTTCTAGATTAGCCAACTTGTTTGCATGTAATTTTTCATTCTGATACTTTGTGATCCTTTTTATTCCTGAGCTATCTGTTACAATGTCTCTTGCTTCATTTGTTGTATTTACTTGAGTCTTTCTCTCTTTTTCTTGATTAATCTAACTAAAGATTTTTCTTTACGCTAACTTTGGACTTAGTTTGCTTTTATTTTGTTTCTTTGAGATCTTTTTCTTTTAAAATGTAGGCTTTAATGCTATAAAATTACCTCTATGTACTTTTGCTGTATCCCTCAAGTTTTGGTATGTTGTGTTTTTGTTTTCATTTGTCTCAAGATACTTCTTTTTCTCCACGTTTTTATTATTGATATAAAGAGAACAGATTTCATGTAGCTTATAGATACAGTTCTTTTTTTTAAGATTTATTTATTTATTTGAAAATCAGAGTTACACAGAGAGAGAAGGGGAGAGAGAGAGAGAGAGAGAGAGAGAGAGAGAGAGGTCTTCCATCTGCTGGTTCACTCCCCAAATGGCTGCAACAGCTGGAGCGCCACTAATTCAAAGCCAGGAACCAGGAGCTTCTTCTGAGTCTCCCATGCTGGTGCAGGGACACAAGCACTTGGGCCATCTTCCACTGCTCTCCCAGGCCATAGCAGAGAGCTGTATTGGAAGGGGACCCGAATCGGCACCCACATGGGATGCCAGCAACGCAGGCAGCAGCTTTACCTAATAAGCCACAGCACCGGCCACAGATACAGTTTTAAGAATATAATGATACTCCCTTCCTTCCTTCTCTTTTTTCCCTCCCTCTGCTTTCCTTTCTTTTTCTCTCTCTCTTTTTTTTTTTCCTATCAAGATAATTCTTTTTTTTTTTTTTTTAAACTCAAAGGTTGATGCAACACAACCTGGAGCTTTTTTTTTCTTTTCTTTTTTTTTTTTTTGACAGGCAGAGTTAGACAGTGAGAGAGAGGGAGAGACAGAGAGAAAGGTCTTCCTTTTCCGTTGGTTTACTCCACAAATGGCCACTACAGCCAGCGTGCTGTGCCAATCTGAAGCCAAGAGCCAGGTACTTCCTCCTGGTCTCCCATGCGGGTGCAGGACCCAAGCACTTGGGCCATCCTCCACTGCCCTCCTGGGCCACAGCAGAGAACTGGACTGGAAGAGGAGCAACCAGGACAGAATCCAGCACCCCATCCGGGACTAGAACCCAAGGTGCCAGTGCCGCAGGCAGAGGATTAGCCTAGTGAGCTGTAGCGCCAGCTAAGATAATTCTTAAATTCCCTTTTCATTACTTCTTTGAACCTATGGTTGTTCTAGAGTGTGTTGTTTAGTTTCTATCTTCATGAATTTTTCTGTTTTTGTTCTGTTATTGATTTCTAGTTTTATTCCATTGTGGCTGGAAAACATACTTGAAATGATTTCAGTCTTCCTAAATTTGTTAAGAATGATTTTGCAGTCTAACATTTGATATATTGTAGAAAATTTTTTGTATAATTGAGAAGAATGTGTATTTTTCTGCTATTGCGTAGAATATTTATGTATATTCTAAATTTATTTGGTCTATATTGGTAATTATGGTCTTTACTATGTTTTTATGAGAATTTGTTGGTCTTTATGTATATATGTTTATGTTTATCAGTGAAGTTAATTGTTTTAAAATTTGAGCTTGAATGACCTTCTTTAGTACTTTTTTAAAAAAATAAATGAATTAATTAATTTTTAGGGAATACAAATTTCATATGTACAACTTTAGGAATATAGTTATTCTTTCCACCATACTTGCTCTCCCACTCCCACTCCCACTCCACCTCCTCCTCCCTCCCCCCTTCCCAGTCCCATTCTCCATTAAGATTCATTTTCAATTAACTTTGTATGCAGAAGACCAAATCTATACCAACTCTATAAGTAAAGATTTCAGCAGTTGGCACACACATGCACATACACACACACACAAAACTGTTTGAAAACAAGTATCACAATTGACTCTCATAATACAACTCATTGAGGACAGAGATCCTGCTTGGAGAGTTAGTGGACAGTGACTCCTATTGTTATTTAACAGTTGACACTCATATGTATGATGTCAGTGACCACCCGAGGCTCTTGACATGAGCTGCCTAGGCTATGGAAGCATTTTGAATCCACAAACTCCATTAGTATTTAGACAAGGCCATAAGCAAAGTGGAAGTTCTCTCATCCCTTTAGAGAAAAGTACATCCTTCTTTGATGGCCACTTGTTTCCATTGGGATCTCACTCACAGAGATCCTTCATGTAGAATAT